AAAAAAACTTGTTTGGGCTGGGGATTTAGCTCAACGGTTCTGCCTCCTGCCTCTCAAGTACAAGGACCTGAGTTCGATCCCCGTACCCCCCCCAAAAAAAATCTTCAAAAAAAACTTGTTTGAATATTTTAAAACATGTACTAATAAAAATAGCTGATATCGGCACACTTTTTCAAGGGCACAAACTTGGGATCCACTGTATACTAAATATGCGATCAATAAAGGCATTAACTAAGCTAGGTATGGTGTTGCATTCCTCCAGAAACTGAAGCAGGAGAATCACAAATTTGCAGTTAGTTGGGGCAATTCAGTGAGATTCTGCATCAAAATAAAAATAAAAGTTCTGGGAATATATGGGGCTATAGTGTAAGGGAAGGAAAGAGCCCTTTTTCAATCCCTAGAATGGGGTGGGAGAGGGTCATCTAGAAGGAATTCAATTCAGGTTTGTAATTTGATTTATAATTGAAATTCTCAAAGGTAAACATGAGCAATTTTTTTTTTTTCTTTTGGTTTTTGGAGACAGGGTCTCACTATGTAGTTGAGACTGACCTGGAACTCACTATGTAGCCCAGGCTGGTCTCTAACTCACAGCAATCCTCCTGCCTCAGCCTCCCGAGTGCTAGGATTACAGGCATGAGCCACCACTCCCGGCAACATGAGCAATTTTATTTGTGAGAAAAAGTCCACTTTAAAGCCTTATCGCAGATAACGTTTTTCTTCTTTTATTTTTTATTTTTGGTACTGGGGATCAAATTCCAGACCTTGTGCTTGCAAGGCAGGAGGCTGCACCATTGAGCTAAATCCCTGACCCTAGCAGCGGCCCTAATTTTTAAAAGTTTTTTACTAAGGTGAAAATACATATGAATAAGTCAACCATAATTTATTGACATTCACACTGACCACTGCTAAATTGAGTTCTAAAACATTTTCTTTACCCAAAAAGAAAACCCTATACCCATTAAATGGTTGTGCTCCATTACCCCTTCTTCCCTCCCAGCCTTTAGCAACCAATATCTGGTTTCTGTCTGTGTGGATATTTCATGTTAATGAAATCATGTAATATATGACCCCTTGTCACTTTTTTAACTTAATATAATAACTTTTTCATGGTTTATGCACTTGGTAGCATGTATCAGTAGAATAGTCCATTGTGTACCTATATATACATGGGTGACACAGTGTTTATCCTTTCATCCATTGATGGACATTTGGGCTGTTTGCACCTTTGGGCTATTGTGCCACTATGAACACCAAGCAGCTAATTTTAAAATTCTGGTGAGAAATATGTGTAATGTATTCAAAAATAAGTTTTCAGAATTATTTGTCCACAACATTAGTTCTCATTTTAATAAGTATAAAATGAGTATACTAAATGCTTCTGGGAAGGTACATACAGAAGTAGGCCGTAAGGATACACTTGCTTGTTAGAATTCTCGTGAGTGCTGGGTTCTATCAGTGTGTTTACTTGGTTGTGAGTTCTTTTCCTTGGGCATGGAAGTTCCTTGAGAGCATGGATGATGTCTGTATCTTGTATTATCAGTGTCTGGCATAGTGTCATTATTTAGCAGGCACCTGGTTATTTGTCAAATGAATAAGTTTTGTTTTGTTTTGACGGGGTATTTTTTTGTTTGTTTTTTGTTTTTGTTTTGTTTTGTTTTGATACTGGGGATTGAATTTGGGACCTTGCACTTATGGGGCAGGCAGTGGCATCACTGAGCTAAATCCCCAGAACTTGTCAAATGAATTAGTAAATACCACTTAAATTGAGTCAGTACTCACTATTTTTTCACAGTTGAGGAAGTTGATAAGCATTGTTTCAATTCTCTGGCTTTTATTGGTTAGTTCTATGAAATAGCAGATTTTGGTAGTTTGGGCCAATGTAATTTTATATCCCAGGTTTGAGAGTACCTATAAAATATCTACATTTCCACACTGGGGACAGTTTTTGTTTGTTTGTTTGGAGACAGTCTCACTCTGAGTGCTGGGATTGACAGCCATGTCCCACCATGTGTACCTGGCAGGGAACAAAGTTTTGAAAAATACTTGGTGGGAGGAGGAGAAGGAAAGTGAGGACAAGTTAAGACACTGAATTTAGTGATTGTCCTAAGCAAGCTTGTTAAAGTATACTTTAAATGATTTGTGTTATACTTGATAACATTATATACCTTTGTGAGTTTATTTTTGACTGACTTTATTTTATTTGGTTAATTAAGTTATTTTTTGTGGTACTGGAGTTTGAACCCAGAGCCTTTGCATGGAGTTACACCTCAGTTCTTTTTTTTTTTTTTTCTTTTCTTTTTTTGGTTTTTTGAGACACAGGGTCTCACTATGTAGTTGAGACTGACCTGGAACTCAGTTATGTAGCCCAGGCTGGTCTCGAACTCACAGGGATCCTCCTGCCTCAGCCTCCCTAATGCTGGGATTACAAGTGTGCGCCACCACACTTGGCCAGACAGGATCTTTGTAAGTCACCAAGTTGCCAGTCTACACTTGAACTTGAGATCCACCTGCCTCAGCTTGCCAGGGTGCTGAGATTACAGCCATGCACCACTACCCCTGGCTTTGACTTTTATTATATTCTGAGATGTTTTGAGATTTTTAAGACATTAGAGTCTTTTTATTTTATTTTATTTAGCTCCCAGTGCTCTGATTTTTCCAGTTAAAATTAATCAAACTATTTTGTTAAACTTTTTCTTAGTACCTAGCTTCACATTTTACCTGTAGGAACTAGGGAATTTAAAATAGGTAAGTATTGCACAGGGTGTCGTGTTGCACACCTGTAATACCAGCACTTTGGAGGCTGAGGCAGGAGGATCACTGTGAGTTCCAGACCAGCCTGGGCTTTACATAAGTGAGTTCCAGGTCAGTCTCTACACAGTGAGACTCTGTCTCAAAAAAAACAAAAAACAACAACAACTAAAGTAGGTATATATTTAATATATTCTATTATTTGCCATTATAAAGGTCAGCTTCTGGTACTCTAGTGTACTTGATTGTATTACCTCTAATTTAGTTTGATAGTATAATTGCAAATTTAAAGTTTCATTATAAATATTGATTTCTAATCCTAAATGAGGGTCATTAGAAAGAATGTGTGGCCGGGTATAGTGGCACATGCCTGTAATCCCAGCACTTGGGAGGCTGAGGCAGGAGGATCACTGTGAGTTCGAGACCAGCCTGGGCTACATAGCAAGTTCCAGGTCAGTCTCAACTACATAGTGAGAACCTGTCTCAAAAAACCAAAAAAAAGGCGGGGGGCAAAAGAACATGTGCTGTATTATTGCTATTTCCTAAGAGAAGAACTGTCTTAATATGGTATGTATTTTTGTAAGAAATTTACTTTATTATGATATATATATAATAGTACTTTAATATACAAGTTTTTCATATGTAAAGTTGAGATACCTCCTACATTATTGTCTGTAATTTGCAATGTTTTTACTTCATCTACTTATTGGATATTTGATCCATGTGTTCATTATAATTTACTATCATAAATAATTTGTAAATGGGATGATATATTTAAAGCTCTGAGCATAGTCCTGGCTCAGTAATGCTCTTTAAGTTGTGGTAGTTAATACTTCTTTAAAAACACACCTTTCTTCAAAGACACGTAATTGATAGCTTTTATTTCCTCTTTCCTAAAATCTTCTCTGTATGGCACTACATTAAAACATTGAAAGAGTAGGGACAGATTAGAGATTGCTACAAACCCAGCTTACAGGAATTTAAATTTTTAGTTTTAGACATTTTTATTTTATCCTCTTAATTCTAGTTTTTATTCTTTTCGGTGTTCTTTACCTCTTCTTGTATTTTACAAAGTAAGACGGTCAGGGCCAGGAATTTAGCTCAGTGGTTTTGCCACCTGCCTCGAAAGCACAAGATCCTGAGTTTGATCCCTGGTACCAAAAAAAAAAAAAGAAAAAGTATCCACTCAAAGTAAGAAGGTCATTTGATTTTTTTGTTTTTGTCTTTGAGACAGGTTTTCAACTATGTAGGTCAGTTTGGGCTTGAACTCACTATGTAACCCAGTCTGGCCTCCAGCTGGTGGTAATCCTCCTGCTTCAGCCTCCTGAGTGCTGAGACACAGGCATGTGCCACCATGCATGGCTAGAAAGTCATTCGTTTTTAATTATGTTTTTTCTACTTTTAATATTCTGTTTCTTTGACATGGGGTTGAAGGATATTCCTGGAGGTATTAGCAGAATTCTGTGATGGAGATTAATGAATATATGTGTTTTAGTTAAGTATGAGGAAAAACTTAGGGGAGGAAAATCACAGTCTCAGCTGGGTATGGTGGTGCACACCTATAACCCCCAATAATACTCTGGGAGGCTGAGGCAGGAGAGTGGCAAGTTTGAGCCGAGCTTGGGCAATTTAGTGACTTAGGGAGACCCTTTGTCCCAAACAAAACCTTTAAAAAGAAGGAAAACCAGGGCCAGGGATTTAGCTCAATGGGGCCACCACCTGCCTTGCAAGCATAAGGACCCAAGCTCGATCACTGGTACAAAAAAAAAAAAAAAAAAGGAAAACTAGCCTGAGAAGGTAGCTCAGGTGAATGCCCTGAGTTCAATCCTCAGTACTGCCAAAATTAAAAAAAAAAAAAATTGTAAAGGGTCAGTGTCACTGTTTTGTTAATAGATTCATCATTAAGAGTTTTTATTTTTCTTGGATTTCTTAAGTTTTCCAATACAGGGGGATAGTTTGGCATATTCTTTGAAGTATTAGCAGTTTTACTACTACTTTTACTACTTTTTTATTTGTTTGTTTGTTAAAAAACATGAATACATATAAACACTTAAAACCATATGACCAGGGATTTAGCTCACTCAGCAGTACCTTGTCTGCCTTGCAGGGGCAGGTGCTGAGTTCGATCCCTGGTGTTGGAAAGAAAAGAAAGAAAGAAATATCTCAAGCCGGGGATGTAGCCCAGGGGCACCACGCCTGCCTGGCAAGTGCAAGGTCCTGAGTTCGATCTGCGGTGCCACAAAAATGAATAAAATAAATAAATAACATATGAACACACCCAAGACATTTTGGGGTTCCAGGAAGACTTGTACTTTTTATGGGCACTTAAGTAAGTATTAATTGTAGAATCAATTTATTATTACATAGTAATAATAATGTATTATTACACTAATATAATTTTGTTATTATAACTTTTCTTTCTGCAGCAACATTTTCTGTAAAATCGTATATGTTTTTATTGAAGGCACAGTCCAAGCTGGGTTTGTTTTGAGATAGGATCTCACTATACAGTTCAAGCTGGCTTTATACTATGTAGCCCAGGTTGGCCTTGAACTGGTGACAGTCATTCTGCCCCAGGCTCTTGACTGCTTAGACTACAGGTGTGCATCACCATGCCTGGCCCAAGCTGTTTTTGAGGTTTGCTCTCATTTATATTTTCAATGAGGTGTAATCAAAAGGATATTTTTGGTGAGAAAATGTAGTATTCATTTTTTACCAGAGATAGTCGAATACTGGTATATAAAATGAAAACCATTTAAGAGAAGATAATCATTTATATTCCTGATTTCCTTCTTGTCATTGCTACACGAGAAGTAGGTTGATTTACTATGGTAATATTTTATTTTAAATAGGTGTAGGATTGAGGAAGCCCCAGTATAGTAAAATTACCTTACTCTTACAAAATAGGAACTGGGGGCCCAGGGATTTAGTTCAGTGATTTCAGTGCCTGCCTTGCAAGCTCAAGGACCTGAGTTTGATCCCCGGTGTTGGTGGGAACTGGGTGTGGTGGTGGCACACACTTGTAATCCCAGCACTCTGGAAAGCTGAGGCTGCAAGTTCAAACCCAGGACAGGGCAATTTAAAAGGGGCTGGGGAGGGCCAGGGATTTAGCTCAGTGGTTCTGCTGCCTGGTCTGCCTCACAAGCTCAAGGTCCTGAGTTCAATACCCCATACCTAAATAAATAAATAATGGGGCTCGGATGTTGATCAGTGGTAGAGAACCCTTGGGTTCGATCCCTAGTAGAGAGGAAGGGAGAGAAATTGAGACTAAAAGGGACTGAGAGGCTCAGAGAGAGGAAAAACCTGAGTATGTTGTGCCTCATTTGATACTAAATGGTAGTTTGACTGCTCAGACAGTGATATAAATAAGGGAAATGTTGTCTAAAGCTGTCCTGGTGGGTCAGGGGAGTAAACACAGCAGATCTGGCAGTAAGCCTGGCTTCTAAAACTAAATCCAAGTCATCAAATTTGTCCAGGCATGCCACATGAGGTTCAAGTAACAGTGGAATGTAAGAAGAGTAAGTTTTTTTCAGGGAGGGTTAGAAGAGTCACAAGCAGAAGCAAGCTTTTTAAACAGCCATCATTTAAAATCAAACATAATACGGATCTGCATATATTTCCACATTTCTGGTAATGTTTATACATTTATATCATGACTCTCACCTGTTTGAATTTAACAAACTTTTGGAGAGAAAAATAGTTGGAGCTATAAGATTTAAATAATATAGACAGTGCTTATCAATAGTTGAGATTTAATTATTTGGACAGTTCTGATTAATATATTGTATTCAGGTGTGAAAAGGAACTACAGGTAGGTCTGTGAAAGCCTGATAATTCCAGGTATATTGGAGAAGTAACTAGAAGGCTTTGTTTACCTGAAAAAATGTAATTCCAGTCCATCTGATGTATGTTACAGCAGCAGGTGAAAGTTTTAACATCCAAAATATGTAGTTCAATATCTTTAAAATTTTTTTTCTTAATTTTGAGTTATGTTTTATTAGCTTTACCACTTATTTTAATTAAAAGTAAGATTTTTTGAGCTGTGAAATTGGGTTAATTTCAGATTAATTTTTTTCTCATAACTTTTTTCAGTATTATTGACTTGTATCACATGTAAAATATTTCCAAAAGCATTTTTTCTCCGTCAAGGTAATCATTGGCTAGAACATTTTAGTGAACTGTTCTGAGTTGTACTCAATTACAAATATTTTTCATTATTGCTTTTTTAAAGAATCTTACAGTGTAGATTGTTTAAAATACCAAAAAAAGACATTTAGAAGTTATTGAAGCTAGATGATGGACATATGGGCATTTATAATAAAATTTAAAAACTGACACTAAAAAGCTCTTCAAACTCTTAAGGTGCTAGATTAGGATAGGAAAACTATTCACTTTAAAAAATAACACTATAAAGTTAATAGGCTTTACTGTTGCATACAATTTTTAAAATTTATAACAAATGAAGAAAAAATAAAATAATTAGTGGTATGTCTGATTTATAAAGCCCATTTACTGGTATTAAGTTTTTTCAGTTCAATTTAACTTTTTTTTTGGCGGGGGGGCTACTGAGGATCAAACTTTGGATGGACCTTGTGCTTGTGAGGCAGGTGGCTGAACCACTGAGCTAAATCGATTTAACTTTTGAATTTATTCGTGATGAAATGGAGCTACAGAAGTTGCTCTTAATTTTAAGACATTTTAAATCTTAATATATAATCGACAGATTAACTCACAAGGATAATAGACATATTGAGCTGGATGTGGTGGCACACACTTGTAATCCCAGCACTCAAGAGGCTCTGTTAAAATGGCAGCAAGTTTGAGGCAAGGCTGAACTACATAGTGAGACCCTGTCTCAAAAACAAACAAAAGAAAAAATTGGAAAGAGGAGAATACAAGAAAAAATTTACATTTAACCCATGTACTTTTGCCAAGCTATTTTAAGTTATTTTACTACTAGAGATGTTAGAAACTAACTATACAAAAGAATCAAGTTTAAAAGTATTTTGTGGGGTACATCATTTCTATAATTGTATAATGTGTTTCTTTGTGTTTTTAAGTGATGACATTAAGTTAACAAACTTGTCTGAAATTAAATTATTCCTTGAACACTTTCAGTGGGGGTTGCATTGCCCTTTTAGCTCCTTAATTTGAGAGTTATTTCACTGCCATAAGTAAGACAGAAATTGCAAAAGAAGGGAGGGGGAGTTCAAAAAATTATGTGTTTCAGTGGGATTTTGTTTTTTGTTTTTTTGTTTTTGTTTGTTTGTTTCTTGAGACAGGGTCCTACTATGTAGTTGAGACTGACCTGGAACTCACTATGTAGCCCAGGCTGGTCTTGAACTCATAGAGATCCTCCTGCCTCAGCCTCTCGAGTGCTGGGATTACAGGCGTATGCCACCACAACCAGCTTCAGTGGGATTTTTAATTGATAATTGGTTTAATTTAAAATATTTACAGGTTTGTTGGACTTTCATAAATTGAGTACAGTCTCTTCATTAAACTACCTGCTACAAGAATGACTTTATAAAACTATCTGCAAAAATTATACAAGCTTGTGCCAGTGTAAAAAGAAAAGTATGTCAATATATCCATGATGTTACCAGTTAACATAGGAACAGATAAATACTATTAAACTCTTTATCTTTTTTTTTTTTTTTTGGTACTGGGGATCGAACTCAGGTCCTTGTGCTTGCGAGGCAGGCGGTGGAACCACTGACCTAAATCCCCGGCCAATACTGTTAAACTCTTGTTCAGTAACAGAAGTTTATTTATATGGGCAGTATGCTTTATTGTTTATTTTTTAACCAAATACCTGCTCAGTAATTTATAATGGCTTTGCAGTAATGTGTATCAATAAGCACTGGAAAACTGATCGTCTCTAGGATGGTATCCATGTTTAAGTGCTACTGAAAGCTTCACAGGTGGTTATGAAACAGTAAACATATCTGTTATTAATATGTTAATGACTGCTCATTTAATGAGAAATAAAAGTAATTTATGGATAGATACTATTTTAATTGAAAAAGAGACATAATAGACATAAATTCTTTTTTTTTTTTTTTTAACTGGCGGTCACACTCAGGACTTTGTGCTTGCAAGGCAGGTGGCAGCACCACTGAGCAAAATCCCTGGCCCAAAATATAAATTCTTTAGATTTATGGACATTTCAAAACAAATAAGGTATGAAATACATATCAGAGTTTGCCATTTGTGAGATTGATTATTAAGGAATATAGTTTTAACCTTGTCCTTTATATGAAGAAAATCTGGGGGAAATATAGAAATTTTTAAATTTTTGATTGTACTGTAAGAGGTTTAAGGAAGCTGGGTGTGGTGGTGCACCCCTGTAATCCCAGCACTCTGGAGGCTGAGGCAGGAGGATCAGGCTGAGGCAGGAGGATCGCTGCGAGTTCGAGACCAGCCTGGGCTACATAGTGAGTCCAGGTCAGTCTACATAGTGAGACCCACAAACAAACAAACAAAACAAAGAAAGAGGTTTAAGGGAATTTGATATCCTCTCTTATCAACCCTTTTTTCCAGTTTTCATTTCTTTTCAGTAAAGGAAACATTCAGTAAAATATCAAAGGGTTGGGGATTTAGCTTAGTGGTTCTGCTGCCTGCTTTGCAAGCACAAGTTCCCAAGTTCAATCTCCAGCACCAAAAATAATAAGAATAATAGTATTAATAACAACAACAACATTCCAGACCAAAAATAAATAAATGAGAGAAAGACAGTTGCTAAAGCTAAGCCAGGCAGGGTGGTATAAATTTGTAAGCCTGGCACTCCTGGAGCCTGAGACAGGAGGATGGCAAGTTCAAGTTTAAGCCCAGTCTAGGGAGTTTAGTAGTTTAGTGAGATTCTGTCTCAGATTTTTTTTAAAGGTAAACTTTTTTTTTTTGCTTCAGTACCAGAAATCCAACTCAGGACCTTACACTTGCCAGGCAGGTGTGGTGCCACTGAGCTACATCCACAGCCCAGTAAACTTTTTTGTTTGTTTGTTTTTTGGTTGCGGGGGTCGAATTCAGGACCTTAAACTTTCAAGGCAGGCATGGTACCACTGAGCTAAATCCCCAGCCCCTAAACTTTTTAAAAAATAGGTAAATGGGGTTATATTACATTCCCTTTTAGCTATATTTGAAAGCTTCAGTCCTACAGTTGTTTTGATCCTTTTTGGCTATGATCCAGAGTTAAGAAATACTTTTGTTTCAACCCAGTGCATACACACTGTTCATACACACAAAACTGTGTATTTCTACATGTTCATACACACAAAACTGAGAAGTTTCATACAAGAGGGTGTTTAGCTTTTAGACCATAGCAGTATG